CCTTTTGTCGGCCGACGAACTTCCCTATATTCGGCCCGGAGCTAAGCGTTGACCATGTTGATGACAAGTGGAGAGAATGGCTTGGAGTCGACCTGCATGGCTGCCTTTTCTGGGAATTGGAGCTTCTTTTCGTCTATCAACTTCTGGATGACGTCTCGTAGAACAACGTAGTTGTTGGTGTTGTGAGACCAAGAACTGTGGTATTTGCAAAACGTCTTTCCTTTGAGTTCTTCGGGTTTCGAAATTTTATGGCCGAAGGACAATTTGACCTTTTTCTCGGCCAACAGTAGGTCAAAGATAGCTTCGGCCCCGATCAAATCAAACGTGTAGGCCTTCGTTTCTCGAGTCGCGAACTTGGCGTTGGGAATCTTCGTGCGATTATTGTCGGTCTTGACAAGTCCTTTGCAAACGAATGGTTTGTCCATGCTGACCTCGGCTGAGCTTATCTCAACTTCGTCGTTCTCGGCCTATGTGGGGCCGTCTGCCTCGGCATAGCTGACAACGGGATTCCAATAGTAAGTCCATTTTGAAACTGTCCTCTTCTGCACCTCTTCTTTCAACAAGCATGCGTATCGGTCCACCTTGTTGATCAAATCGTGCATGTCCCGGAATTCAATTCCCTGGAATTTCTTCCGGTATTCGAATTCCAATCCTTCTTCGGCCATCTTGACAAACTCCCTCTCTGGTAGGTTCGTGAGGCACCAGTTCCTGCACGTTTTGAACCGCTGCAGGTAGTCGCAAGGCGATTCGTCTGATGCCTGGCTCATCCTTGCCAGCTCGACGACCGTTATTTCTCGGTTGGTTTGATAAAAATGTTCGTGGAATATTCTTTCCATGTCAGACCAATCCCTCACTGAATTCAGTGGAAGGTTTATGAACCATGAGAACGCCGCGCCGGTCAGAGAGTGAACGAATAAACGGAGCCTCTGGGCATCCGAATCGACCTATCCGCACTGGGCTGTGAAGCGGCCTATGTGTTCAATGGAAGAGGTCTGCCCATCCCCGGAGAATAGAATGAATTCGGGCAACCAATATTTCCCGGAAAGAGGGGTCCGGTCAATTTCCGGTGGGTACGGTTTGGTATACCTTGGCGCTTCCGAGAGTCTCTGAGCCAGGCCGTCCTCGATCATTCGCCGGACGTCTTCGAACCGGAGTCCCTGAGGAGGCGCTTCTTGCTGGGCAGCAACCGGCCGCGGAACTTGTTGCCCCTCGTTTTACGGCCTTATCTGCTGGGTTGCTTGAACGGGGGGTTTGACCGGGGTGCGCATGTGTTGCTGTTGGAATGGCCGAACCGTACTGAGGGTGGGAGCCTGACTGAAATAACGACGCCTGTAATGGTGAAACGGTCGGATTGCTCTGACCGTACTACTGTGACGAAGCAGCAGTCGCTTTGCTTGGGCCAGGAGCCCGAGGCATGCGTCCAAAGCATGGAGTGGGCCGTATGCTGTTTCTGGTAGGCAGGTCGGTCCGGGATTCACCCATGTCGGCTGGGATTGCCCCCAACTATTTGCCGGTGGCTGAGAATGCTGGCCGTATCCTGATGCTTGGGTGCACGCAGAGGCGCCGAGGCTGCTACTTTCGCCGTAGGGCTCAAACCTCCAGCGTTCTTGGCTTCTCTGTCCAGCTCTGGAAGGCGTCGCGGACGACGTTACCAGCATCCTCTCCAGAAAGAGCGTCCGTAGCTCTGAGGAGAATCTGTCCATTGCGGCCATAAAGGATGTCTCTATCCTGTAGGCCTGCTTAGCCATCAGATCCTCCACTACTGCTTGCTCTCCCATGGACTCGGCAGCACGATCCGTCGTTATTGGAACGCGGGCAGAGATTTTGACCGCGTGTTCGGTCTCGGCGATAGTGATTGGTGAGGTGGACTCAGGAGCATCGGAAGTCATTTCGACTGTTTTGTTTTTGAGCTTTGCCTGTGCCCTAGTTTCCACCATAAGTTTTTGACAAGTGTCCCACCGGGCACGCCAAAAGTGTTGGCTACGCAAATCTCACCGCCTGGTGCTCCGGGTCGAGGGAATGTGCGTTAACACGTGACGTCCTTCTTTTGGATGCGATGTAGTCATGCGCGGGCGTGCCAGCACAGTCTACCGTGCGTCGAGATGGTGATGAGGTTTGGGTCGAAGATAGTTTAAATGATGCGCCTGTTTCGAGTTCGACTCCTGATCAAACGATTGTGGCCGAGAGAGGAACTGATCTCGGCCGTCAGGTTCACGGCTTGAGCTACAAGGCCGTTTAATGGTGGTGTTGGTGGCGGGTTTTAGGCGGTGCTCCAGCGCATTGCTCAGAGAGCGACGGTCGTATGATATATGGGGTGAATAAGATGACAACAGAGATGGTGCTCCGGATCCTTGAAAATCAAGGGCCGTATGATATATTGATGAATGGATTTTCAACAATGACTGATAAAGGAAGTCACTAATTTTTTTTCAATGAACAGCATTTGGGATTGCTACTAATAGTTGTTTTTCTTGTAGTGTTTCAAGCAATATAGATATCCAAGAAAATAAATATATTCGAGCATGCATGAGATTAAAAGCACATAGCATATTATTCAAAAGATGAACAAATATTATTTCATACAGGAACACTGGAAATTAAACACACAGCTGGGCATACTAGCATCTCCAACCGATATGTCAAAAGTGCCACATAGATATTTAATGGCTAGAAATAGCATCTCACATCACTCTAACCGAATTGTCAAAGCTTATGTGGAATAAAAGCTGAAAGTTCAGCTGTTATTTTTTACATCTCAAAAGCTAGATGTCAAATGAATATTTTATTATTTTTTTAAAACAGATGGCTGCTACTTTCATTTATTATTTTCTTATTTTATTTTGTTTCATTCTTTCTCTTTCCAGTTTATTTCCTACCGTTGAACAATTGTTTTTAAACACACGACCCGTTCTTCCTATCATACATGTATTTGTTTATCACCTCTTTCATTTTCTTCAAAAAGCTATATATATATATATATATATATATATATATATAAAGAACTTGTGCTCAAACACAATTCTTCTTTTATACCAAAAAATTTTCTTTTCTTTTACAGTGAATTGTGAAGAACCCCAACATGTCTCATCATTTTTCTGATTCATCTTCTGATTCGACAGATGAGCACTTTTGGGATCTTGTTGATTCAAAGTCTGATGAAGAACTAGAAATGTTGGAAGTGGTTGCTTTGCAAAAGGAACAAGAGAATATGGAAGGAGAAACGAGTAAACATCGTGGTGCTGTCCAAGGTCATGCATATATCGACAGAGGACGACTACAAGGGCACCAAAGACTCTATGATGATTATTTTGCTGAGAATCCTAAGTACTCTCCAGCTCAATTTCGAAGAAGGTTCCGAATGCGCCGACCACTTTTTCTTCGAATCGTAAATGCAGTAGAAGAATATGACTCATACTTTACCCAAAAAAGAGATCGAGCTGGTAGTCTTGGTTTATCACCTTTACAAAAAGTCACTGCTGTGATGAGAATGATTGCTTACGGAGTTGCAGCTGATGCTGTGGATGATTATGTGCGGATCGGTGAAACTACTTCAATTGAATCAATGAAAAGGTTTGTTCAAGCGGTTATTGACATTTTTGGTGAGAATTACTTGAGAAGGCCAAACAATGCTGATATTTCAAGGTTATTAACAGAGGGTGAGAGTCGGGGGTTTCCAGGAATGCTGGGTAGCATCGATTGTATGCATTGGAAATGGAAAAATTGTCCGGTTGCATGGAAAGGGATGTATGCTCGTGGAGACCATCGCGAGCCTTCGTTGATTCTGGAAGCTGTGGCTTCAAAAGATCTATGGATATGGCATGCTTTCTTTGGACTACCAGGATCACATAATGATATAAATGTCTTAGAACATTCTCCTTTATTTTCTGACCTCCGGGAAGGCCGAGCTCCTCCAGCCAATTACTCAATTAATGGTCACGACTATACAATGGGTTATTATCTTGCTGATGGAATTTATCCATCATGGGCAACATTTGTCAAAACTATTCCATGCCCCCAAGGACCAAAGGCCAAAAATTTTGCAGCAGCCCAGGAGTCTGCGAGGAAAGATGTTGAACGGGCATTTGGAGTGCTCCAAGCACGTTTTGCAATTATTCGTGGTCCTGCTCGTTTTTGGGATCGTGAAATGCTTCAAAGAATCATGAAAGCATGCATCATAATGCATAACATGATCATTGAAGATGAACGTGATGATCGCCTTCCACGAGATTATGATGTAAGAAATGGTGAAAGTATTGATCTTGTGATCTCACATGAGCGGACAATAGAATTTCAAGCTTTTATTCAAAATCATATTCGTATTCGTGACAAAGGAACCCATAATATGCTCCAAGCGGATCTAGTTGAACACTTGTGGGGGTGGCGAGGTGGTGATACTAGTAATTAATCACAGTATTATGTTATTTCAAGTTTTAGTTGCATATGTGTTGTTTTAAATTTTAGTTTATTAAATCAGAAGTGTATTTGGTTTTAAATTGGACTCTGAGAAAACGTTGGTCCATATCCATTTGTTTGTTCTTGTTGTGATAAGATCATTGCTCTATCATATACAACATTAAGAGTTTGTTTCATTTACGTTTGATTAGTCTCATACTCTTATCTCAGTCCATATTAAAATCTAATTTCTATAAGAAAACAATATAATACAAAACAAAACAAATTATAAAATATTACCGTTGCATATCACCTTGAATCGTTTCATTTATGGTTGCACAAATGAACTAATTTGTTGCTATTTTCTTTTCTTTCAAGGTCATGCATGCATTATTTCAATACAGGTGCATTGTTTTAGTTACTTGTGCATTGTAAATACTTTTGCCCGTTGGAATGTTTAAATACTTGTGCATGTTTCTTTTTCCCGTTGTTCATTAAATTCATCCTCACATTTGATTTCTATAAATATACCACATTTTTATATTTGCTTGTGCATCCTCACATTCATTCTCTCAAATTTTCCTCTAGAAATATTATGGATTCTCAATACTCCCAATTGCCAAATTTTTCTACTCAACAATCTCAATTTTCAAGTGAAGTATGTGATCGAGTAAATGTGGAAGTGTCTGAAAAGAAAAAGATCCGCGGTGCTGGCTTCAACAAAGATGAGGATCGTCTTCTTGTTAGTGCATGGTTAAACACTAGTATGGATGCTATACATGGAAATGAGCAAAAACATCAAACTTTTTGGGCACGAATTGGGGATTATTACAACCAAAATAAGTGGTTCGAAAGTAGTCGAACTGACTGAATGCTATCTCAACGGTGGCAAAAAATTCAGAAGGAGGTCAATAGATTTTCTGGATGTATTGCCACTATAAATGAGAGAAATCAGAGTGGCAAAACTGAGCAAGATAAGGTAAATTTAAATGGTATTAGTGTATTTAATTATTAAATTTATTCTCATGTGGAGTTTTGTTTCATTTTTTTAATCTTTAGATTGCGGATGCGAAGGCTACATATGAAGCAATATACAAAGCAAAGTTCAACCTTGATCATGCTTGGACGGTGGCAAAAAATTCAGAAGGAGGTCAATAGATTTTCTGGATGTATTGCCACTATAAATGAGAGAAATCAGAGTGGCAAAACTGAGCAAGATAAGGTAAATTTAAATGGTATTAGTGTATTTAATTATTAAATTTATTCTCATGTGGAGTTTTGTTTCGTTTTTTTAATCTTTAGATTGCGGATGCGAAGGCTACATATGAAGCAATATACAAAGCAAAGTTCAACCTTGATCATGCTTGGATTTTATTGAGGCACCAACCAAAGTGGTTACAAACTCAAGAATCAGTGAGTAAGAAGCGTGAAAACCAATCTGACTTCACTAGTTTCTCATCATCTTCTACTGAAAGAACTCCCATAGATGTTGACCAAGACAACACCAATGATGCTTATGCTCCCACAAAAAGACCACTAGGTAAGAAGGCCGAAAAGAGTAAGATGAAAGAAACCACTAGCGATGAGCCCACTCCTATTTTGGTGCAAATTCAAACATTACATGAAGAAAAAAAGGAAAGAGATGAAAGGAAAATGGAGCTTATTAAGAAGAAAGTTGAGCAAGATGAAAAAAAAACTCCGACTCAAACAAATGGAGTTCGAGACGAAAATTATGTCTATTGATACATCTGGAATGTGTGATGAGGAAAGACTATATTATACTCAACTTAGAATGAAAATTCTTCGAGGTGATGGATTGTGAATTATATTTCAATGAATTCATTATCTTGTAGTATTTTTTTTCTTTTTCAATTAATTGATTGTCTTTTAGTATTTTCTTTTCTCTTTAATTAAAAATATAAAAATTATAAATCAACACTGAAATGTAATAAAATAATAATTTAATTTGACATATCGGGTGGAGTGTAAAACTGTGTAAATGTCAAATTGCCACATCAGCCATCAAATTTAAATTTGATGTTTGGAATTTGACATCTCCCTCGGAGATGCTCTAACATTACCAACCAATTTAATAAGGGTAAACTTAGAAAACAAAAACTAACTTGTGTGATGCATTAATGACATTGTTTTAAGTGTAAAGAAAGTGACACTTATCATGAAGAGAATGGAGAAGGTCAAAAAGAGAAGGTTAGAGAAAAGATTGGTAGCATTCCTTTTATTATATTGACATACACACCCGCCCAACCTCTAGTACATTCTCTCTAAAACACTTCCAACCATTTGTCATGCAAAAGATAAGGGCAAGAAAGGGCGGTTACTGTTTATGTGAATAGTATTCGCCCTATTAATTTTTTTGGTACTTTTTCATCCATTGTCATGCAATCCAAACGCAATTACTATTCAAATAAGATTAATTTTATTTATATGTACGAGATTAATAAATAAAAATTTTCTAGGTATGTATAAAAAAAATTCTGAATTTTTTGATAATTTTTCAGAATTTTGTTTTCAATTTTTTTTAAAAAAATTCTTCGCTGATGTCAGCTCCTTCAGACAACAGCTCAAACTATTTTGACTTGGGCCTTTCCCTGGCTTTATGGACCCCAGCTCTTGCCCAGACTGTATGTCACTGCTGGAGCTTATTTTGGAAGATCAGGGGCCTTTTGCCTGGGCTGGGCTGTCCGGAACTGCTCTTACGCCTGTCCATTTATAAACACCCATCCCTCCTCTTCGAATCTATCCGAACCCAATATGTTCCTTCCCCTTATATGCCAAGAGAACAAAAATAATTGACCAAAAAAAGAAAAGAAAAAAGAGACCAATAATCAAACGTGGGCTCATCGGCTATAGCACTCTCCCTCATGTGCCCTCGATTGCTCGTCTGCTGTCGGCGGTCAGGTTCTGTTCTGTAGCAGCGACGTCCTCTATCAGGTACTGTTCTCTCCTCTGGAACTGAGTCGTTAAATCTTTCGTTCCAGATCCAGATCGATACCGTACCGCGATTGGTACTCTCGATCCAGATCAGAATTCGTAGGGGGTGAGCGAATCCAAACACATTGGAGGAGTTGATGTGTGCTCAAACTTGGTTATCAACTTTGTGAAAGCATTGTAGCTTCGAAAAAGGGGCATTTTCTGTATGACATCAGTTTCCTATCTTCCATTCTGGTTCTCTTGATTTATTTATTTTTTTTTCATTTTATAACATCTTGGAAATTTTAACCAAACGCAGAAAGTCTCATGCCTTCCTCTTTCAGACAAAGCCAATGGCTTTTCTTGGCAGCAGCGTTTCCCTTAGCAGTCTACTAGCAACGCTGATGCTCCTGATTATTCTAGCAGCCGAGAGGCGGGTCTGCATCAGGATCCCAGAACGGATCATTGAAACCGCAGGAGACGTACCCAACAACCAGTCCTTGAAAACAGCAGTTTTCGCTCTGGGAAGCTTTTGGAGATCTGAAGCTGTCTTTGGGTGCTTGAATGGGGTTGTACAGACCACTGTCGGTTACGCTGGCGGATCCAAAATCAACCCTGAGTACAGAAGCTTGGGTGATCATGCTGAGTCTGTCCAGGTCTCTCTTCCATTTTCCTGTTGCTTTTAGATTTTCATGAATGGGTTTTTAACCTTTCTTTTTTGGCTTGAATATAATGAAACTATCTCCAAGCGGTGTCTTTTTGTTTCTTGTAAAGTTTAAGAGCAGTTGAATCCCTGCAGTTTTTTACTTTGTGGGCTTCTTATCATTTATTTTTACATACATTTTACTCTCTTTTTGAATGTTTCAGTCACATGTATAATTCTATAAATCCTGAGCAGGTTATATACGATCACAGGCTTATTAGCTTTAGGCAACTTTTGGAGATTTTCTGGTCAAGTCATGATTATCGGCAAGTATTTGGGCAAGGTCCTGATGTGGGTAACCAATACAGGTAAAACTTATGACAGCACACAGCAGTTTCTTGCATAACATAAACTCATAACTTAGAGTCCTTAGTGAGATTTTTTCATATATAAACAGATCTATCATTTTCACAAACGGAACTGAAGAGTCCAGATTGGCTGCTGTGAGCAAAGAGAGAGAACAAACTAAATCAAAGAGCAGCAGTGTAACTACTCAAATCCTACCACTTGGAACATTTTATTCTGCTGAGCCTGAACATCAGGTACAACTCAATATCCTTTTTCTCTTCTCCCAAAACTCTTTAAGAGGGAATGTTGTTTCAGATCTTTGTATTGTAAATCTTTCCTCGTCGTCAACTTGCTCAAGGGAGTCTCCTATATTTCTCTCTAAATTTTAGAGCATGTTTTGAACTGGAGCTCTTTGGAGATGTGAAAAAACAAAAAAACAAAAAGAGATCTTTTGAACTAGATTCTAAATTTTTTGAATCCTTAGCTAACATGTTTTTAAAATGCAGAAGTTTGAGCTGAAGCGTAGGCCATTTCTTCTCCAATTAATTGGAAACTTGCCTGAAGAGGAACTTGAGAGGTCAAGATTGGCTGCAAAACTGAATGGCTATGCTGCAGAGCTTTGTCCTCCAAAAATTCAGAGGCAGATTGATGCAAAGATCAATGAAATTATTAAAAAAGGATGGCCTATTTTGAGAGACTTGTAGGTGGCCCATAATTTAGAATTTAGACAAACATGCTGCATGCTCTATCAAGTTCTCGCACTTGTGCACCATTTTATCTGCCTGTTCAATCCCAATCTGTAGGATAGAGAATCCAATTGAGTTCATTATTGAGTAACCCACCAGTGTCCTATGCCCTGTCATCATGTTAAGGTTATATCTGGTTTTTGCAGGTTTGTTGACCTCCTACGGTGTATAGTATCCTCTGATCATTCATTCGAAATCTTATGTTGTCAACTGTGAATTTTGACCACACTTTCACGCATTTAGGCAAGAGACAACTTGATCGGTGGTCCAACTTTACGGTCTGTAAACATAAGTATCATGACCAATTGTCCAAATTTACAGTTCTGCAAGAGAATATTCTCCAATAATTTAGTTTGTTCTTGTCTGAATTCATGATCCCATATGTCTCCATCTGATGGACAGGTTTTTTGGGTTCTGAGAAGGATTGACAGTGTTCTTTTGAGGTGAGGATTAGGAATATGGAGTGCAATTATTTCAGTTCAAGATTGATCCGTTCGAACATGTCTCGTCCAACTTAAGTGTGTTTAGTCAGTATTTGGAGCATTGTTCATACTTTTTCTTTTTATTTGGTTCAGAGATTTGAATCGCAAAGTCTCCCCGTACTCACATGTGACTCATGTTTGGGGTATATAGGATTTTTGCACATTTTCTCTCCACACATTTTGTGTATTTTTATGAACATCACGGAAGTGTTTCTTCAAGACTTCCCCTGTTTTTGTGGTCAATCATTTCACTGTGTTCAAAGAAAGTCTCATTACACAAATCGCAACTGTAAGCCATTGCACAAATGATATGAATGGTGAAAACAAAAACCAAACAATAAAAGGAATTGGATAGAGGAGAAAGACTTGGAACAAAATTCCAACACGCACAATTGAGAAACAAGTCAAATGAGATGAATGTTGAAATCAAAAACCAACAAGAAAAGGAATTGGAGAGAGGAGAAAGACTTGGAACAAAATGCAAACACGCACAATTGGGAAACAAGTTGTGAATGACGGGTTTTATAGAGCAAGCCCACAAGTTGTGGAGGTTCTTCATGACATACCTTTCAAATTGGTACCAGTTGGAGTAGGTTTTTCATGATCCCTCTCACAAAATTTGGACTAAAATATATGAGAGATTCTTCAATAAATATTTTATGTTAAGGATTGGTTACATACTTTTAATTTTGGCAGTTAAATGCAATCCAATGCTCGGGATTAGAAGTATGTAACTGATCCTTAACTTAAATACTTATTGGAGAATGCCCCAAAATGTATATTATCTTGGGTTTTGAGCCCAATTGAAATATTAATTCGTGACCCTTTCTTTTTCTTTTTCTTGGCCTTTTCCTTTTTGTTTCTCAACTCAACCCAAACAAATAACAATTCAACACATAGACAAATCGAATATCACTGGTCAAACACTCACAACATAAGTTTGAATAACAATAATGCTATTTGGACACACTAAATTAACCGTATTATTCGACAACTGATGTATTCATGTCATAGCAACTAAACTTTGCGTTTATGTGTTTTATTGATTTAGATCTTTTAATAATACCATAATAATAATCTTCCACCGTGTTCCTCTTACCCTCTCTCCTCCCTCCTCTAATCTTTCTTTTCTCCCTACTTTTGCCTTCCATCTTTGTTCTCCTTCCCTCCCTCTGTCTATGATCTCATCCATGGTTATTGACAAAGGCCAATGAAAAAATATTTTTTTTTCTTGGAAAGGGCGATCCTAAAGAAGAAAAAAACCAACAAGCACTCTTTTGTGCTACCCAATAACCTTTTGCATATGTGATGAGTTTGTAGCAATTAATTTTAAATGATTCTTAACTTGACCCAATATAATTTTGTAGATGCATCATGTGACAATGTGAAGAAATTCATATTGGAAAGCTGAGAAACCTAAGATCAATCAATTCTTAAATGTAAAATGAAAAATATAAATATATAAATATATCCATGCAAACAAAAATTAGGAATACAAACTCTACACATCCTAGTTCCTAAATTGACACAAAGAGAAAATAAAAAAAGTGAGTTTAGAGAACAAGACGAATAACATAAGGAGTAGAGCTGGTTGCCCCTCTTGCCCTGCCTTAGTATTCTTTGAGTCATTTTATCAAACAACTTGCCCCATTAACTACAAAACTTCATAATTGAAAAACGAGCTTATTTTGGTCTACTTCCCCATTACTAATTGATAAGGATGAGATTGGCCACCGGCATAAGTAGTCGTTTTTTTCTTTTTCTTCTTATCTACCCCTTCATATCGATGGGGTAATATAGAAAACGAAGACTTGTTTCAAAGATTGGTATGAATGAGATCAGAGAAGGGAGGAGAAAGAGGGAGGGGAAAAGTTGAATATATCAGACATACAACAAACGCTTCAAGATTTTATTTTATTCTATAATGAGTTGGAAGAAGAGTATATTTCACTAGATAAGATTCAAATTATCAAGTGTTTTTATTTTTATTTTTTACCGTTTGATTTCTTTGATTTGGAGTAGAGTTTGTTTTCTACTGACGGTATAATTTTAAAAGGGTAAGGCAATTGTTACATGAGAATTTTGATTTGGGTAGGATTTTAGGGTTATTGTTATGAATATTTTCTTTAGGGCCTTGAATGAAAAAGATAAAACCCGTAATCCTATTCTTTTAGGGGCGGTTATCTAGTAAGAACACCTATATAACACCGTTGGATCTAATCTAATGGCTGCGTGAAAAGCAATTGCAAGTGAAACTATTGTACTAGAATAAGGCCTTCTTCTCTCTCTTCCCTCCAAAACAAACGTCCCCTCCAAAACAAATGTTTGCTTTATTCAATTAGGAGGCCAATTTTTTTATCTGCTTTGATATTCTGTTTGAGGAAGAACACTGAAGAACGCCCTCATTTTTCTGGCTTGCTCATTTAGGCGAAACAAAGCAATCATCGATTTTATATTTTCATCTTTGTGGTTTGGTCTTTCTGGTTAGAACATTCATCAATCCTTGAGCAACGTCGAAAGTGGCGTTGAGTTGGAAACTGGTAAACGCAACCCTTGTGGTTATGTTCTCTTGGTTTTAAAATCCTTGAGCACGGTCGAAACAGGGGTTGAGGAAGGTCAAAAGTTTTTGGGGTTGACGTTCAGATCTAAAAGGGTGACATTGTCATATTTGTTGAAATTTTGAAGTTCAAAATCACTTACGAGGTAAGTGATACATTGTATTTGTTAATTTTAGTATTGGGCATCAACATGAGTTACGTTATTGTATGTAGGTTCTTTAATGTTTCACTAGAGACTCAAAATGGATTCATATATGTAGAATACTTATTTACTAATGTTTCATACTATATTTCGTTTATTTATTTGTAAAGGGTATACCAGTGATTTGCTTCCTGAACTTGTACCTAACTTTTAATTGACCCCCTATCCTTTTTTTTATATAGAAAATTAAGGATATGAAGTTCTTTTTTTCTCCAATTTCCCTCTTGCCGTCTAAATCTGCAACATTTCATCCAATTTGCCATTAAACATGAGGGCAAAGTGGTCATTTTGTACATTAAAAATAAATAAAAATTGAAAAAGTAAAAACCAGAAAATTCAAATAGTACTCTCTCTCTCTCTCTCTCTCTCTCTCTCTCCCCCAAGGGGGAGGAGGGGTGGCGGACTGGGAGAGGGAGTAAAAAAACAAAAGCTTCAAAACCACTCATGTTTGCCCAATTTCGTTAACTTTAGGTTGGCCAAAACGTCTCACAAAGTTTGGGTTTTTAGTCTGGAAAAAACATGGGAAGTTGTAGAAAACAAGCCCAGTCTAGGCTCCGGCTAGTTGCGGGGCATGGCAACTGTTCCTGCAACCTCCGACGCCATATTTTTAGTCCATCCTATTCAATTTCTCAATCCGGGTCCGATGATATAGGTTTCGGGTTGTTTTAAGGGTTGTAACTTAGAGAGGGTACCGTACTCTCCATTTTAAGAGAAAAAAAATTTATTAAAAAAAAAAAAAAAAAAGAATTTCTAACCTCATTTATGTCATATTTTTCAAATCTAGGAACGGGAGTGAACCCGACAACCTCCGAAGGATAATTTCGTCATTTTAGCTAATTGGGACACGAGGTAGAGTTTCCTAATTCCCCAATGATTAGACTATATCACTTTTAATCTTGGTGTTTATATATAGTATAATAAATATGAATTGTTTTGCTTGGTGAATATTATTTGATGTTAGGTGAATACGATTATTATTGTTTAATGAATATTATATGATGTTAGGTAAATAGTATTATTGATATTGCTCCATAGATATTATTTGACGTTGGATGAATATTATTATTTATGGGATTAAACTTGAAATATTTTTGTTAATTATCTGTATTACTATTTTGCAGAGATTGATAATGTTTGAGTTGCATTACATATGCATCATAATTATGGTCATATGTTGGGTTGGTGTGTGTGTGTGTCATTTGAGGTATATCTAAGGGGTGGGGGAAGGTCTTAGATATATCTGAGTAAAAAAAAAATGTGGAATTTATTTAGGTGACGAGAGCAGGGCTTGAATATATTAAGGTGATGGGAACATGGCCTTTAATAAAACGTGAAAATTGAGAAATTCGTAAACAAAATAAAATGGTTTAAGGGACGGATGAGCACTGGTTCATATTTTAGGGTATTCGGAGCTACAGTGGTAAAATGCGTGGTATGGGACATGCAGGCTTGTTACCCTAAGGTATGAATTAATGGGATTAGAAGGGAGTGAGTTCATGGCATCACCGCATATGCAAATTTATTTATCTGGTCTGATTGCATAATTTATATATCTTGCGTTGTTTGATGCATGACACTTTGATTAATTGTGATAGCTGACCTCGAGGGGGTTGACGGTACTCTACTGGACATTAGAATGCTCATACCCTAATAGATTGTGTAGGATTCAAGACGAAGTTTGAGGAAGCTAGTTTCAACTAAGCTGCTAGGTTTTTGTTGTTGATTTGTGTAATTAATGTTTGTAAGTAGTCAATCGTTTGATAATGATCTTAGTGCGTATTTAACTACAAGCTACTCCAACTATAATTCTGTGTTGTTAAGTAAATTGGTATTATTTGTGACTCCATTTCTCACAATATCATGGTTGTAGGATTTTATTCTTACGACTATGGTATGACTCACACCATGATTCGGGAATATTCCTTATTTTGAATCCGGTCGTGACACCTTCTTTAGAGAATCCATAGCTGCATCGCGATCCTCGTTATGCTGAATGGCCTTCTTTGCCACGAACTCTTTGCAGTGACATTCTCTTACAAGCTCTCCGAGGTGCATCTTCCAAGATCGGCAGCTAGATGTGTCGTGCCCATGTGTTCTATGGAAGGCACAGTACTTGTTGACACTCCTCTTATCAGGATCTCCCTTTAAAGCTAGTGGTCTTCTCAGCCAAGGCTTCTCTTTCAATTGGGCCAAGATTTGATGTATCGAGATAGTGAACTTTGTATAGCCGTCATCTGCTGGTACCCCACCTTGGGATGGTGCGTTGCGCTTCCTTCCATTGTTCCTATTACTGAGCTTACCTCTCTGTCCTGCCTCCTTGAGTAGTTGTTTGGCTTGCTTAGCAGACTTATTTGCAGCGATTCGATCGTTGTCTTAGAGTGCGTAGTGTTTCGCAGTCGAGAAGACCTCTACCAAAGTTTGGCTGGGAGCGATAGTGCTCAGCTAGTAAACCCTTCTTGAAGGCAGAGGGTGCGATTCGATTATCGCATCCCACAATGTTGGATTTCTCCACCTTGAATCTTTTGATGTAGTCTTGGAGGCACTCATCATGCTCCTTGCGCCAGTTGAACAAGTGGTCGGCTTGTTTCTTAATCGTCCGATAGGAAGTGTACTCATTGGTGAAAAAGAAAGCCAACTCCTTGAAGCAGCTGATCAACCTAGACGGTAGGGTATGAAACCAATCATAGGCTGCTCCATGTAAGGTCATCGCAAACACCTTGCACATCTACGCATCCTCGATCTTGTAGAGAATCATAACATTTTTGAAGTGCTTCAAATGGCTCTCAGGATCGGGATCCACTTTAAAGTGTGTGAAGGAAGGCATTGAGAATCGTTTCGATGGGGCCGCTTGCTCAGTCTCAGTGGTGAATGGTTAGTAGTTCACTTGGTCTACCTCCTTGATATCTCTTCAGAGTAAATCTTCTTGACTGTCCTGCCCACACGACATGTTGGTGGACTGAGCTTTCGAGGGATCATTTGTGGCCTAACGTTATGAGTTGGCTCGATGTCGGAGCTGGGGGAGGAGCAACTCCACGATTCTCCCCAAGATCGGCAGCTAGATGTGTCGTGCCCATGTGTTCTATGGAAGGCACAGTACTTGTTGACACTCCTCTTATCAGGATCTCCCTTTAAAGCTAGTGGTCTTCTCAGCCAAGGCTTCTCTTTCAATTGGGCCAAGATTTGATGTATCGAGATAGTGAACTTTGTATAGCCGTCATCTGCTGGTACCCCACCTTGGGATGGTGCGTTGCGCTTCCTTCCATTGTTCCTATTACTGAGCTTACCTCTCTGTCCTGCCTCCTTGAGTAGTTGTTTGGCTTGCTTAGCAGACTTATTTGCAGCGATTCGATCGTTGTCTTAGAGTGCGTAGTGTTTCGCAGTCGAGAAGACCTCTACCAAAGTTTGGCTGGGAGCGATAGTGCTCAGCTAGTAAACCCTTCTTGAAGGCAGAGGGTGCGATTCGATTATCGCATCCCACAATGTTGGATTTCTCCACCTTGAATCTTTTGATGTAGTCTTGGAGGCACTCATCATGCTCCTTGCGCCAGTTGAACAAGTGGTCGGCTTGTTTCTTAATCGTCCGATAGGAAGTGTACTCATTGGTGAAAAAGAAAGCCAACTCCTTGAAGCAGCTGATCAACCTAGACGGTAGGGTATGAAACCAATCATAGGCTGCTCCATGTAAGGTCATCGCAAACACCTTGCACATCTACGCATCCTCGATCTTGTAGAGAATCATAACATTTTTGAAGTGCTTCAAATGGCTCTCAGGATCGGGATCCACTTTAAAGTGTGTGAAGGAAGGCATTGAGAATCGTTTCGATGGGGCCGCTTGCTCAGTCTCAGTGGTGAATGGTTAGTAGTTCACTTGGTCTACCTCCTTGATATCTCTTCAGAGTAAATCTTCTTGACTGTCCTGCCCACACGACATGTTGGTGGACTGAGCTTTCGAGGGATCATTTGTGGCCTAACGTTATGAGTTGGCTCGATGTCGGAGCTGGGGGAGGAGCAACTCCACGATTCTCCTTTTTTTTTTTTTTTTTTTTTTTTTTTTTTTTTTTTTTTTTTTTTTTTTTTTTTTTTTTTTTTTTTTTTTTTTTTTTTTTTTTTTTTTTTTTTTTTTTTTTTTTTTTTTTTTTTTTTTTTTTTTTTTTTTTTTTTTTTTTTTTTTTTTTTTTTTTTTTTCTTTTTTTTTTTTTTTTTTTTTTTTTTTTCCTGTAGCACCATTTTTTCTCTTCTGTATCACTTGCTTGGAGATGATATAGAGGCATGCTTGTAGGGGTTTTGGTAAATACCCAAAACTTTGTATATGAAATTCCAATTTTTCTGGTTGTTTTGGTCCCACAGAAAAATAGATTTTTCATGATGAAAAAAAAGGAACATGGGTCACAGCGCCCATGCGTGGCTTGAGAGAATTTTGCCAGTGATGCGGTGGTCATTCTCGTTGTGTTCCTCGCGGTAGGGCCTCTCACCATGGTGACTTGAAGGCATTGGATCGATGGCTGAATCAATTGATGAGGGGGGATTTCCCTTGATTTGGATTAGAAAGCATCACATTGAGTATATCTCGAATATCTCAATGAATGCACCAAATATGTTTGAGCAAAATTCCGCATAGGAAATATTCGTGGGTTGATTCCTAGATCCTCGATTTTCCTTCTCTCTCTTCCTCGATCCCTAAGAAATAAATAGGAGTAATAGACCACACCCGGAGGGACGCCAAAGGCCTTCCGATGCCTAAGTTAGTTCGATTGGATCTTGATAAAGATACGACAATAGGTAAAGTGAATGGAGTTTTCTCCCACAGGGAGAGCCGGGTGGCCAAGCTGTGTGTGGTGGCACTTAGAAGTGTGGGAGAGAGGGGAGAGAGAGTGGCGGCAAGAAAAGGGTTTTTCGAGTGAGAAAAAGTTACCTTGAATGTCTTGTGTAGCCATGTATTTATAGGCTCCTTGGTGATAGGGTTTGAAGAATAATCCTTATTTGGTTAGGATTATTCTTACCAATAAATAAGAGATTGGAATTAATCAAGGAGAATTTATGGAAATCTCATCCTTGATTTGGGTTGATATTCTCATCTTAAATCAAAGATAATTTCCCTAATTAAATAGGATTTAATTAAGGTAATCAGTTGTCCTAAGAAATATTCCTTTTTCACTTGTCACCCATCTATTGGTTGCCAAAATATGTGTTCTCATAGGTAGCAAAGGATGAATAAAACTACCATGCTAAGGTGACAACTCCAGCGCTCTTAATTTCCAATAAACACATAGATACTTGGAATTTATATGATGTCATGAATGATAAGATTCTTAAATTGCAATTACAACTTGAGAAGAAGCGATTTTGTGCATTCCAAAAGGATGGTAAATGGCAATGGATAAAATTTTTGTACTAACCCTAAAAAATCCATTAAGAAGAGGGTGAGAAAATTCAGTCATTAGTCTTCCTCTGCTAAAATCCTCCACGCAACAAATAGTGGTGGGCTAATTATTTTGTCTACAAGGCGACAATTTCGGCCGATCCAATATTAATGCAAATGACTGCATTAATATTGTTATGGTAATATATCAGCCTTCTTGTCAATTGGCTTTTACTAGACTTAGAGATAAAGAATTGACTTATATTGATAGTAGTGGTGATGGGAAATTCAAATTTTTTTAAGATGTTGCTCAAATTAAAGATAAAATGTATGCTGTTACACACAGTTGGAGCCTACTTTTAGCTTTTGAATATACTAACCAATGCAGCTCATATCTAAAAACGATTGCACAAGGCTATAAAACTAAAGAATTTATGAAGATATATCTTGTGGGTTCAAATGAAAAACAATTGTTGTTGGTTCGTCGTTATATGAATTATGAAATTTGTGGGTGTGTGACAAAGAGATTTAGAGTTTTCGAATTGAATTTTGATAAGCATGAGTGGATTGAGAAAAACGACTTAGGTGATGTTGCTTTGTTTGTGGGTGATAATTCTTCAATATCTATCGCGACTTCAAATGTTTTAGAATATGAGTCGAATTGCATATACTTCTACCATGATTGTGATTATGAAGGAAGACGTGCTTCATTTCAAGATTTCGGGGTGTATGATATCAAAAGTCAAAGGATTTCAAAGCTTGCACAAACTATAGACCCTGATGAAGAAGATGAGCTACCTCCAATTTGATTTTTGCCATCTGTTTATCTATTAAAAAAAATTGTTACAGCTTGGTCATGGATTTTTATTTATTTTTATTATCTATCTATTTATCTGTAAAATTAGTTACACCTTTTTATTAAAGACGTAGGTTCAATATTTAACATATATGATGATTGATTTTATATTCTCACAACAAGGTCATGGAATTTTGTTAGTGCACTAATTCATCAAGCAACTGAATTAGATTAATTCATCAAGGAAAAAAATTCAAAATTTGTATACCTTTATTATAATCTTGTGTCCAAATTGTGATGATTTCAACCCTTTGGTAATCTCTGGACGTCTTCAAGGCTTTAAGAAAATAATAATAATTGAAGTCGAAAGAAAACTTTAAGGCCCCGTTTGGTTTATGGGAAATGAGATTTGAGAATGGGAAATCAACTACTTTCCCATGTTTGGTAAGACCAGGAATGGGAAATCATTGCCTGGCCCATGGGAAAGTAGGGGGGAAGATGAAACCATCCTCCTAACTTGGTTTTTGTTTTCCCTCATCATGGAAAGTTTGGGGAAATGAACTAACATTAAATACTCATTTTTCATGACCATTTTGTGTAATAACCCAAACCTAAAATTTATATTTAATTATTAATTTATTGGAGGAAAAGATTAAAATGCCTTAGAATTTTTATTAGGTCAAAAGTTGACTTTTTGACCAAGAAGGAAATTGGGGATTTCAATTATACCGTTGCGTAGAGCGCGACGAAACGAGTCCATAGACACGTAGTGAACTCGAATCGGAGTTGTAACGAAGAAGTTACGGTCAAAATGCTTCAAGGGGCAAAATGGTAATTAGGAAAGTCAGATTTTTTTTTTTAAAAACCCCTCTCTCTTTGGTTCGACAGAACCCTTCCCCCCCATATTTTTTCAGCTCAGTCGGTGGCTTCCAAGAGCCACCGTTGCCACCACAGGCCACGGTGGGCCACGAGATCGGACCCAAACGGACGGCCACCCCCTCCTCTTCCCTTCCTGATCGGTCTCAGCCCCTGGGACCGTCGGAGATTGCCGGAATTGCCATAGAAATGGCCGGTTTTTGACAGATTTTCTCTAGCTTCGTTTGAACGATTTCGGGCACCAATTTGGACGAGTGAGGTATGGATTTCTAGCTATTTTTCATGCTCTAGCTGCTGGTTGGATAGGATTTCAGAAATTTCCAGCGTAGATAACTCGATTTACGAGCTAGGTTTCAGCAGGTTTTCGGGTCACTGTTTCGGCCACTTCCAGTCAGTTTTTGGGGTAGGTCCAAGAACAAAACTGGCTTCAAATGGGGTGTTATACCTAGGATAGGAGTCTTCAGCCTAGATGTTGAGTTTTTCCGATGATGCGTTATCGCTTTAGGCACCACGCGCTGCCAGCGCGTGTGGCAGCGCGTTGCCAGTAGGGTGGGGACCACAGTCAGTCCTAGAATGATCTCCTAGTCCTCACGAGCGCGTAGGATTGGAGTCTTGAGCCTAGATGTTGAGTTTTTCCGACGATGCGTTATCGCTTTAGGCAGCACGCGCTGGCAGCGCGTGTGGCGGCGCGTGGCCAGTAGGGTGGGGACCACAGTCAGTC